GTTCCAAAACTAATAAGTTCCCATGAATCAATTATTTGCATTTCATTTCATTTCATACATGTTTACTTTTGAAAGAATACTCTTATTCTCTTTTTCCATTATTTTATTTTAGTCTATGTTTATCATTATATTTACACTGACTTTCTTGTAAATAGTATATAATTGGGCCTTTTATTTTTATTGTCAACCTGAGAATCTCTGTCTTTTAATTAGAGTGTTTAGACCATTTACATTTAATGTAATCATTAATATGGTTGGGTTTAAGTACATAATTGTCTTATTGTCTATTTGTTTCCAATGTTTTTGTTCTTCTCTTCTTCCTTTCCTATATTCTTTTGGATTATTTAAATACTTTTTAGTATTCTATTTCACTTTATGTGTTATATTTTTGGCAGTTTTTCTCTCTTTTTAGTGGTTGCTCTAGGAATTATTAAAGGGAAGTAGTATGAATACACTGGTTAACATAATTATTTTTTTTCTTTATAACTTCACTTGCAAGCCTGAGCAGATTTATGAGGCACTGTGAGCTTAAACCTCTTTGGGATTGAGGCTAATACTACAAACCACATTGGATTTATATAAACATCAGCCACTCTGGTAAAAGCATTCTACTTGACTGACTCCATCAACTCACTGGCATTTTCTATGGTCAAATTCAGTAAAAATAAGGTGAGAGCAAAAGTCTTTTGTCCAGGAGATTCATGTCAGCTGAAGAAGTAGCAGCAGACTTAGGACAACATAAAAGGTTAAGCCATTTTACTAATACCATTCTTAACCTTGAAAAGTTACATAGATTTTTCAGGAGCTTAGCGTTTAGCAGACGTAGAGAATATTTATCAAAATAAAGAAGGTGGATAAAGAGAAACATAGTACATTTGGCCAGGCACAGTGACTCATGCCTGTAATCCCAGCACTTTGGGAGGCTGAGGCAGGTGGATCATGAGGTCAGGAGATTCAGACCATCCTGGCTAACACAGCGAAACCCCATCTCTACAGAAACTTAGCTGGGCGTGGTGGCAGGTGCCTGTAGTCCCAGCTACTTGGGAGGCTGAAGCAGGAGAATGGTGTGAACCCAGGAGGCGGAGCTTGCAGTAAGTGGAGATTGTGCCACTGCACTCCAGCTTGGGCAACAGTGAGAAACTCTATCTCAAAAAAAAAAAAAAAAAGAAAAGAAATACAGTACATCTATCTATCCATATATATATACACACACACACACACATACATATATATACACATACATATATATGATAATTCAATAGAGTAAAAATGTCAGTTCTCCTCAAATTAATCTATATTAAATTTAATACTGGCCAGGTGCAGTGGCTCACACCTGTAATCCCAGCACTTTGGGATGCTGAGGTGGGCAGACCACCGAGGTCAGGAGTTTGTGACCAGCCTTGCCAACATGGTGAAATCCCATCTCTACTAAAAATACAAAAATTAGCTTGGCATAGTGGCACGTGCCTGTAATCCCAGCTACTTGGGAGGCTGAGACAGGAGAATTGCTTGAACCTGGGAGGCGGAGGTTGCAGTGAGCCAAGATTGTGCCACTGCACTCCAGCCTGTGTGACAGAGTGAGACTCTGTTTCAAAAAAAAAAAAAAAAATTAACACCAATAAAATTCTAAAGATTTTTCATCAAAATTGATATTGTAATTATAAATTTTATGTAGAAAAGATATTATGAAAGAAAAGCTAAGTCAGTCTTGATAAAGCAGGACAGAGAAGAGAGACCCACACTACCAGATATCAAGATATATTACAAAGGTATAGAAACAAAAATAGTGCAGTATTAGCACCGTCATAGAAGAAGTAATCTATGAAAGGGAATAGACAGCATAGGAACAGACCAATGAGAACTGGACATATAATAGAGGTGACATTATAAATAAATGGCAGTGCAAAGATTGTTTGATACATTGCATTAGAACAGTTGGCTTTCTGCTTGCAAAGTTATAACCCTGTTTCACAGTGTATTAGAAAACAAATTAAAGTTTAAATGTAAGAACGAAGCAAAGTAAAATACACAAAACTTGTAACCTGTCAGACTGTAATAGGGAAAAATATTTTTATGACCTGAAGTAAAAAAATTTTTTTAAATTTAGAATATTTTTTCTAGTCATATTTTGAGTCATGGGAAAAAATAACACTTATTAAAATTTGTAGAAGCAGCTTTGAAATATATATATATATATTTTTAAGATTTTAGATATTAAATATATATATATATATGAGGAGAAAGAGATCTATCCCCTGCCTTACCTAGTATTTCCTCTTCTTTTCCTCTTTCCCTAAGTGTTCTCTTAGAAAATTCAAAGACTCCAGGCAAAACTTTTTCTAGTACATTTTTAATTTTGCTCTTTTTATGATAATAAATAACATAATTAACATGCATGTGATATTGTACCTCATGTTCTCAGAACTGTTATCTGGTATAAACTTTAACTAATTTCAACAGAATTAAGTGTTTTTCTATTAGTGATAACTTTCTAGAGAGGATATGAAGCTAGAACAAAAAGATAAAAACTGGTAGAATATTAGCCTGCTCCACTTTTCCTGTACCCTATTCCTTCACTTGGAAACTTTATTCCAATAATTTTTCCAGTGCATGATGGAAGAAAATACATGGTGATTTGTCATGTTTACTCATGCTATAACTTTGATTTTTAAGCTTTTATTGTCTAAAGAAGAGAATTATTACTTACAAAGCCATTGGCTTGGAAACTATTTTCATGAGAAATCATATCTCATTTAATTAAAATAAAGACAGAAAATTCAACCTCAAGGAAAACTCATTTGTCTTATACAAATAGCATTTCAGAGAGTCAAAGAAATTAGAGGTGGAAAAATCAATTAGAGCTAATCTACCAGCTTGTCAGAAAAGATTGCTTTCTACGAAATATATTCTAGCTCTTTGTCCAGGTTAATTCTAAAAGTCTCATGGGATGGAGCACTTGTTATATTCTTTTGAAGTTTTTCCTTTTATCTAATTTACCTTACCAGGAATCTTTTTTTTGGCTAATATCTAATTTCCATGTTAGCTACTAATTCTATACTATTACTTTTAATCATACCTCTTCCTATACTAATGTCCCTTCCCCGCCAAGTTCAGTTTTTATGATCTCAGATATTTGTAAGGAGCTAGCTTTCTTTCGTTTAACCTAATGACAAATGTTTGCTTGTTATAATAATCTCTTAAAAGCAAAAGAAATCTTTAGATCTTTTTTTTCTCCATCTTCCTTTCTTTTCTTATTTTGCAGACCTTATAATGAGGCACTTAAAAGTGAAGATACTGGCAGGAACAAATAGAGAAAGGAGACTTATAAATCCTTTGCTTGATCAAGGAGACTATCAAGGCCTTTGCAAATTAGCAATATATATCTTATCTATCTCTGGGATGAGCAAAGCATTTTCTCTTGTAAATGATTTCTAGTTCTTTTTAAATGTCTTCTCTCTCAGTGTTCTTCATTTCAGATTCCCCATTCCTATTTAATTATGTTTATATGAATTTAAAATGGAGTATTTTTTCGGGTTGGATGGTGTAATTTATATACCCTGTGAACATGAAGGTTGATGGTTTTCCTGTATTCACAAGATTTAAATTCTTGCCCTTATCATGCAGACAATTAATTGTGAGGCACCCTGCACATTGGTACTCTGGAGTCAAGTTTCTGCTGTTTGATGATAAGCAAAAGAGGGATTCTAGGAGGGGTGAGAGATATCATATAACCAGGGAAGGAGATTGCTGTGAGCATAAGAACATAAATTCTTTGTAGCCGGAACCAGTTCAATAAAATGCCAGTGTCTACACTAACAACTCCTGGTAACCTGAGGAAGGGCAGAGACAGAGTGTGATGAATTTTATTGTGTGCTTTTGTGCTCATTTAATTGAGTTTCTATGAATTTGTGTATAGAGCTTTCCATTACCATTGTTCAGGAATGATGGAATGTTTATGAAATTTACTAAATATGTTTTTCAATATTGAAAATGTACAGAAACATTTAATTAGCTTTCTCTGCTTACCAGGAGACTGTCAGCACTTTAAATAACAAAGATGTGGTAGAATTTTCTAGAAAAAGGGCCCTGTACTACCTTTCACAGAGTCATAACATCTCTTTAGATAAAAGCCTATGCTCTGGAGCGAGACTGCCTTCTTCAGATTCTGCCTCTGTCCCTTAATAGCTGTGTGACCTTTGGAAAGTAACTTCACTCCTCTGGCCTCAGTTTCTTCTGTTATAAAAGCGTAATTAGCCTATCTGAGGAGAAACTGTATTATAAATTGAGACTAAATTGCATTAACGTTTGGATGGTTTTGTTTGTTTTTTGAGTCAGAGTCTCACTCTGTTATCCAGGCTAGAGTGCAATGGTGTGATCTTGGCTCACTGCATCCTCTGCCTCCTGAGTTCAAGCAATTCTCCTGCCTTGGCCTCCCTAGTAGCTGGGATTACAGACGTGCACCACCACGCCTGGCTAATTTATTGTTTTTTTTTTTTTTTTTGAGACTGAGTCTCACTCTGTCATCCAGGCTGGAGTGCAGTGACACGATCTTGGCTCACTGCAAGCTCCGCCTCCCGAGTTCATGCCATTCTCCTGTCTCAGCCTTCCGAGTAGCTGGGACTACAGGTGCCCACCAGCACGCCCGGCTAATTTTTTTTTTGTATTATTAGTAGAGACGGGGTTTCACCGAGTTAGCCAGGATGGTCTCGATCTCCTGACCTTGTGATCCGCCCGCCTTGGCCTCCCAAAGTGCTGGGATTACAGGCGTGAGCCTCTGCACCCGGCCTAATTTTTGTATTTTTAGTAGAGAAGGGGTTTTACCATGTTGCCCAGGCTGGTCTCAAACTCTGTGAACTCAAGCGATCCACTAGCCTCAGCCTCCCAAAGTGCTGGGATTACAGGTGTGAGCCACCGTGCCCAGTGAGTTAATGTTTGTGAAGTGCTTAGTACAGTGCCTTAAAATCTAATTTAATTTTTTCTTCTTTTCATTCATTAAACAGATATTTATCAAGTGTCTTCTGTGTGATGTGGCTGAAAATAGGAATTTACAGCATAGCAACAAAGAACGATACAACATCTAACTGTACTATGTGCGAAGTGCTACAAAAACATATGGCAAGCTCTGGAATCAAGAAGTGAGCAGGCCAGGTGTGGTGACTCACGCTTGTAATCCCATGACTTTGGGAGCCCGAGGTGGGAGGATTGCTTGAGCTCAGGAGTTCGAGTCCAGCCTAGGCAACACAGTGAGCCCTCATCTCAACAAAAAACAAAAAAATTATCTGGGGGTGGTGGTGCACATTTGTGGTCCCAGCTACTAGGGAGGCTGAGCCAGGGAGGTTGAGGCCGCAATGAGTCATGAATGTGCCACTGCACTCCAGCCTGGGTAACAGAGTGAGACTATTCCAGGCAAAGGGAATGGCATAAGCAAAGGCACCAAAGCTTGTAAGTGCAAGATTTGTTTGCCTGTGAGTGACCAAATATAGGTAAAGATCATGGGGTGGGTAAGTGGGAGAGGGGATAACATGCTCTTCCTACTTTAGCTAAGTCACAAAGGTTCAGGAACTGTGGCTACAGCAAGTGGCCAGTGGGGTTGTGCCATTGGTGACACACTGTGCCGTGGTCTTGTCTGTTATTTGCTGCCAGTCCTCCATGGAGCCCGACCTTTTTCTTAACCGGATTCTCCATCTTTGGGTTGATGTAGTGAGATGCCTGACAACTCTCCCAGAAATTATTTTTTCTGGATAAGTTAACCAGAATGAGGTCCTTTTGCTTGTAACCAAGAGATGTCTCAAACAATAGAGAATTTAATCTTTTTGGCAAGCCATTTGAATTTCCTAAATTTTAATCAATAAATATGGAGTACTTCTGTAATAAAATACTTATATTTAATATAAAAATCAAATGTAAATGTAAAATATAAAAAATCTAAATTAAAAAATTATTGAAAATGTTAAAAAAAATTCACATTGAGACAAAAGGATAAGATGGATAATCATAGTGGGAACAATTTGAAGATAATCTGTATTGAGTGCTTGCCTGTGGGCCAGATACATTGTTATGAGCTTCATGTGCATTATCTCACATGCTTGGTAACAACAATAAGATATTCATGCTATGATTATCATTGTTTTCAGATGAGGTAACTGAGGGGTAAAGCGCTTAAGTCGGCTGCCCAAAACTAGCAGTGGGAGAGTGGTGTAGCCAGGATTTAAACCCAGGTAGCCCAAATACAGCATCTACAATCTGTCTCAAATCTATGACATCACAGATGAGCTGGTATCCACCTTTCCCTGAAGGAGTTGAAGGAGCTTTTATAGAATAGGTGATATCTGAACTGGACCTTAGAGAGTAAGTAAAATTCTGCCAGATAAAGAACATGCAAAAGCGTTAGTCTAGCTTGAGGTTTGCGTGCAAGGGCAGAGTCGGGAAAGGCCGCTACGTGTTTCCAGGAATGCCTCATGGGCATAAGTTGCTGCGGTGTGGGGGTTGGGTAGAGGGAGAGGTACGAGCTGGGGATGGGGTGGCTGAAAAAAGAGGTTGGTAGTAGAGGAATCCAAATATATTTTTGAAATGGAATAAGGGTTGTTATATTTTTAATTTTCTTTTTGTTACCAACCAAACAAGCAGCAGTGATGGAGTGATGGAGTTTGGTTATGTGAGTCCTTCAGTTTAGTAGTTAAGATTTTATCTTTAAGCAACTGGACGTCATCAGCGGTCTTAAAGGAGGAGAATGACGTCATCAGCATCTTATTTTAGAAGGATCACTCTGGCAGCGGTGTGGAGAAAGGGCTTGGATTGGGAGTGATGGGTGTCACCAAGGTTGGTTAGCACGATTCTGAAATATTAGGCATGAAAAGACAGTGAGGACAGTGGACAGTGAGGACAGAGAGGTGGGCCCACATTTGACAGGCATCCCTGAGTTGGGAGCAAAAGGGCTTGATGATTAATTTAATGCGGGTGGTTGAGGAGGAAGGAAGAATTGAAGATGATTGAGATTTCTAGTTTAGAAACCTGAGTAATTGGGGAATGTCATTAACTGAAATAGAAGTGGAAGGAAGGAAATCTTCCCATGTGAGGCCTACCAGAAGCTTTACATACGTTATTTAATCTTAAACAAACCCATAATGAAAAAATTAACATGCCCATTTTGCAGATAAGAAAAGTGAGGTTCAGTGAGGTAAAGTAGCTTGCCCAAGGTCACCCAACTAGTAAGGGCTGGGATGTGAAACAAGGTCTTACTCCAGTGCCCCTATTCTTCCCATGATAATAGGGGACTTTGTGCTTTGTACCTCTTTGTACCTCTCTACACTCTAATAATAATTTTAGTTTGGAAAAATAGGACTGAAACTCAATGGGAAGGGAGACCATGGAAACATGGTCCTCCCAGCAATAGTGCAGTATGAAGAGAGATTAAAGGATTGCCCTAATGACATTAAGGACCAGAGCAGCACTGTCCAATATAATTTTCTGCAGTGATGCAAATGCTTTTTACTTACATTATCCAATACAGTAGTTATTAGGTCAGGTGCTACTGAGCACTTGAAATGTGGCCAGTATGAATGAGGAACCGAAGAGTTAATTCTAATTGATTTTAAGTGATTTCAGATTAAATAGGCATATGTGGCTATGACTGCCATATTGGATGGTTTAGGACAAGATAAACCAGTCAGGCATAGAGGGTTCATCAGAGAAGAGGCCTTGCTGGTACCCCTGAAAAGTCACTTGGTATTTGATCACCTGCCTCACACCTCTGCGTAATATTGGTCCTACATTTGGGGACCATAATTTATTCGTTAGCAAAAGGTTTTTTTCCTAGTGTGGACCACAGACTTATTTTACTATGTTTTATCTGTAGGAGAGTAAGTACAATGCTCCCTCTCCTTTCTTATCTGAGATTCATTATAGTCATTTTATCTGTATTTACATTTTTCCGTATAGAGTATTATTTAAGAGTTCAAGCTCCAGGAAAACTGCCTGGGTTCAAATCCCAGTTCTGCTACTGAATATTCTGTGCCTCGAGTTAGCTATTTCAAGTTTGCAAGCCTCACTTTCCCTATCCATAAAATAGGGATAACAATAGTGCTTCATTCATAGGGTAGTTGTGAGGATTAAGTTAAATAACCTATGGAAAATGCTTAGCCAATGTCTGGCACACGCTAAATACTCAGTAAGAGTTAGCTATTCTAAAACTAGTACTGTGTGATAGTGTGTACTTTGTACCTCTGCATTTTGATATTTACTCGACTCTATTTTTGCTTCAATAGAAGGTCTTCCTCCAGATCTCTGTCAGAACATTCCAAAAAGAAATACACATTCCTCAAGATAAGAAGGTAGACAAAGTTTTGAAGAATTTATTGGAGGCATGAGTTTTGAGTTGTTTTTGATTTCACTTTGATTTCTATATTGTTAAAGTATTTAAAATCATTACAGAAGAAAATCATGACCATGATATTTTGTTGTGATCATTAAAATTTCCTTGGTTTAAGCTCAAACCGTTGCACATATACTACACAAATAATAATACTGAAAGTTCTAAATGTTGGCACAGAAGATTTCTTGATGTTTTGTAGTTATACCGTTTTTTGTTTTGTTTTGTTTTGTTTTGTTTTGAGATGGGGTCTTGCTGTGTGGCTCAGACTGAAGTGCAGAGGCTATTCACAGGCAAGATCATACTGCAACCTTGAACATTCGGCCTCATGTACCCTCTTGCCTCAGCCTCCCCAGTAGCTGGTACTACAGGCTTGGGCCACTGCACCCGACTCATACCTGTTTAATTGAAATATTTAATGCCTAGACTTTGGCTATTCAGTGCCACTTAGAAGTGGCTGGATATTTGTTGATCACGGACTAAAGACTAATGACGTTACAGGTAGGAACAAGTAATAGGATCCCTTTTGTTGCCACCAATTTTGTATTTTGTAATCTTTGGATTGTAAAACTGCATTGTAATATAGTATTGCACTCCCTACGGTGTTTGTGCAAAAAAACATTTTTTTCCCATTAGATTGGAATTTTGAGAAATCTGGCTTCAAGTGACAGTTCTGCCTTTGGTTTGTCTAAGTAAAGAAGTCATTTATTTCTCTGGGCCACAGAGAGGTAAATGTCATCTGTAAAGTCTAAGAGTTGATCTTGATTTGATTCTAGAATGGTCTCTGAAGTATCCTTCCAAATAAAATTCCTTGGATCTGCCTCCTTCCCCCAACTCTCTAGAAAGACTTTCGGCCTTAAGGGACTTGAGAGGTCATTTTTATGTACTGTTCACAGCGTTTACTTCCATGCTTTAAAAAACATGCTCTTGGAATATTCCTGGATATTTCATTTCCTTGGAAAACAATTAATGAGTCAGCATGAAGAAAAAACCCACTCACAATATATATAAAAATTGCATAAAGTGGTGAAACGAGAAATCATTTTCTTTGTAAACTTAAATGATGAGGTATGGAGAAACCAATTACTTATTTATAAAAGGAGTGCGCAGTGAGAAAGCTTTATGTAGCAAAGCTAAAGTGCTGTTACATATTTAGCAAGACAGAGGGCATGGGGAGTCCTCTCCATACTGCCTTAAAACTGCTGTTACAATAAACGTTCCTTTCAATGAGAGAGACAATGTGTTGGGAGAAGGACGAAGGAAGGAAACAACGGAAGGGTCAAAGCCTTCCCGCCAGCCCCGATCAGTCCCCTCTGTAAATTCATAATTAAGGGAATTTCCTCCTGCAGCTGCGGAACGCTCGATGGCCGTTTCGACGTCACTGTCAGGGTATTTCAGGGATTTTGTGTGCCCAGGCGGTGACTTCCCAACTCCTCCAGCGGATCCCCGGTGGGACGCAGAACACCACCCGTGGCGAAGTCGGGCCGGGGCAGTTTGGGAACACGTCCCCGGGGGCGCGGCGGCCGGAGGAGGGCGCGGAAGTGTTTCCTGGGTGAGCGCTGCGGCCGTGCCCTTTTCCGGAAGGCTGATTGCATCAGGTGTGGAGCAGGGCGCCTCCTCGGCCCAACCTGGCGGCCTCTGCGCCTGCGCGCGCCGCCCCACCCCACCGCCGCGGACTCCACCGCGGGTTTTCCTCTGGGTCGGGAAGAGACTGAGCTGGGAGGGGCAGGCGCCGCTCACCTACCCTGGACCCCTGAGAGAGAGCAGGGTGGCCAGGCTGGGTTCCGGGGATCCAAGGGGAGCTGTGAGGTCCGGGAATAGAGTGCCTTGGAAAGAGGACCCGCCTACAAGGTTGGAGGCCGGTAGATCTCCGCTCCTGACAGGAGTGGTGGTCTTGGGCTGGTTTCCTCGCCTCTTTGGCCTTGAAGATCACAGACTAAGAACCACAAGGCTTTCCAGTTCACAGAGCCTGTATTTTCCCCAAGAGGGCCACTGTGGCCCTCGACTGTCCTTGGTCCACGGGCGTGTTAGGTGGATCTTGGGGTGCAGAGACTCAGTCCCAAGAGTGAACACTTTCATGAATTTATGGGGATTTCTCTGTGACAGTATTGTTTTTATGTTCTAGGAAGGAGGGACATGATTGTTGGCCTCCAGCTCGGTCGGAGGGAACTAATTGTTAATTGGAGGGGTTATTGGAGTGCAAAATCAGAAACCACCTTCCACAAGGCAGCCCCCCTCCCATCCCTTCGTAACAACCTCACTGAGTCTGCATGAGGATCCCGCTATACGCTATTCGCACCTTGTGCATTTCCCTCCCAGCACTCTGCCTGTTTGAAACGACCGTTCTGAGTGATTATTTGATAGGTGTCTGTCACCCGGCCCGACTATAAATTCCATGAAGGCAGGGTCCTAGGCTTTTAAATTCACCTATATCCTCAGGTCTAGTACAAGACCTCGTGGATCCTCAATAAATTCATGTAGGAAAGAATAAAGTAATGCCCACCCCCACTGCATAGAGTCCTCATAGGAAAAATCATGTGAGTTTTTAATTCGAGATCCTCGGTAGGACTGTGTGTGTTTGTGTATGGGTAGGGTTCTCAAAGTGTATAGTCCTCATACCAGCAGCATCAGCATCTCATGGGAACTTGTTAGATACGCAGATGCTGGGGCCCCACCACATATCTCCCCATTCAGAGACACAGATTGGGACTCAAGGATTTGTACTTCAGCAAACCCTCCAGGCGATTCTGATCCAGGCTCCAGTTTGACAACGGCTGCCCTGGTGAAGAGCAATCCTAAGGATACTTTGGGGATGTCATTCACAGTGTCTAGGGCAGAGCACGGTTTACCACTTACTGAGACTCGACTCTCATCAGGGCTTTGCTTGCACGCTTACAATTAGAGTTATAGATAATATTATTGGCAGTGGAAATGAAAACCTGCTTTTCCTCTCCGGCAGTTGTATTTCTCCCTTGATATCATCTTGTGATTTCCAGATCAAAGAAGAGTGTGTGTGCGGCAATATGCCTGGGGGTGGGGATAGGAGGCAGAAGGAAGGAGAAGGTCTCGCCTACAACTTGCAGTTAGCCTGGGTGGGTGTGGGCAGCTCTTCTGTGGGGACATTTTCCTATTGCAAGGGAATGCTGGCGTGTGGGAGAAAAGCCAGGGCTAAGGTAACCCAACTGCCTTTTGGTGCAGACAGACACCAGCCACATGGAGGGGATACCCGGGCTGCACCGCACGTCCTGCCTTTGGGTCTTACTGGGGCACCCCTTGCCTCCCTGCGTGTTCCCAGGCGATTGGGGAGCTTGCCTCCCGAAGGCCCCGCCGCCTCCACCTGCAGGGGTCGCCCTGGGAGCGCGGCCCGCCCCCTTCCGCCCGGCCCCCGCCCCCCCCCCGGCCCCGCCTTTCTCCCATTTGTCTCCCGCCCCGCCGGGTCCCTCTAGCCTTCGCTCGCGCAGCCGCTGCCAAAGCCTGGAGAAGTGGAATCTCGTCAGCGCAGCTCCCTGCGCTGGACTCGCGGAGCGGCACTGAGCATGCTCAGTCGCCCGAGCCCGTTCTGATCTCAAGTAGGAAGCTAGTCCGCTGCGACCGCAGCTGATCTGGGCGCTCCGGGGAGGGCGAGGCTGGAGCAGAGCCGCTGGGCGCCGGAGCTGAGGCGAGCGCCGCGCGCACCACTGGTGAGCCCCGCTTTCTTCCTTGCCTTTGCCCCAGATTCCGGGGCAGCACGAGAGTGCTGGGGAAACACCCGGGCAGCGTCAGCAGCGTGCGGCGAGTGGCTGTGGGTTCCTCCGGCGGCTGCTCCTCTGCTCCTGGCCCCGGGGCTGCGCGGCCACTGCCGCCCGCTCAGCCGCAGCCACAGCTGCAGCAGCTGCCGCGGCATCTGCAGCGGAGCGCCCGCTGCGGAGTCCCGTGCGCCCTGCGCCCGCGCCGCAGGGCCAGTGGCACGGCGACTGCGGGCTCACTCTCCTTGACTTCCATCCCTCCCGCTTCCCGGCGCCCTCTTTTCCTTAGCAGCCCGGGCTTGGCAGGGCCTGGGGCGGGGGAGACCGGGTTGGAGGCGGTGCGCCCGGGTGGGGACTGCGGAGGGGAAAAGTGAGGGTGGGCGCTTGCGGGAAGAGCGCACACCCCCTTGTCCTGGCACCGGCCTCCGCTGTGCGGCTCCGCTGTCCCTCCCCGGCGGCAGCGCACTCCTGCCGGGGAGTTGGAGCCGGGGTTGGCTTCTCCACGAGGGGTTCAGAGGCCAGCCGCTGAGACTTGAAAGGAGGGAAAAGTTCCTTTTCCCCCTCGGTGGCAGAGAGAGCGTTTAACTAGAAAATGGCTGTGCAGAGGGGACCGACTCGAGGAAACTGGCCACTGGGACCCGAAAGCCC